TTTCTTTTCGTCTGATTTAAATGTTTTATTTTCAAAAATTGTTGAAATCGACGGCTGCGATGATGATGATGTAGATTTAGTTTATTTTAAGTGTTTGATTCCTTCACCGTGCTTTTTTAGAGCAACTCTGTCAGCGGAAATTTTTGCATCACATACTACACAAATGGTACGGTACGGGTCTTTTTATTGTAACGTTCGAGGGTAGTAGGAAAGTAGGTAGCCAATACTAAGGTGGCCGTTATTACGTATAGATTCTCTTTATATCGGCCGTAGCTGATAAAAATCGTTCTTAGGCGGCCCACGTTAGGATCTAGTGATCAAACTGAGCTGTTGTACTATTTTTAACCTTAATAATTTTACTGCTAACATAAAAAATTGCTAAGCATGTGGTTTAACGTTTTCATGCATTTCCCCAATATCGGCCACCGGCCGATATTGAGCTTTGTCGATAATACAGATCCATATATATATATATATATATATATATATATATATATATATATATATATAATACAAATAAATGTAAAAAAATACTATCTAAACTGTACTTTGACTGTTTTTCTTCAAGAACAAATAAAATAAAATACCATAGGTATGTTTAATTCCATTCAAATACTTACCAACGTAATGCGTGGATTCAGGGATTTGACTCGGCAATGCCACGAACTGTAGTCCGAACAAACGAGTCCGTACCTGCGCGTGCTCTATTGCCAACTGAACCTTCAAATATTGAGGCACCCGCACCAAAAATATTGGAGGTTATGCGTATGAATATAGAGTCGCTTTTTGCATAAAGACTATTATGATTTTAGGGTTATTTTTATAGTTGTTTTCTCGAAAAGGCCGATATTAGGAGGCGGCCGATATTAGGAGACTCCAGCCTATAAAAAGTACTGTTCCAGCGAGTGCGAATATCTTGTTTTAATTTAAAATTTTCTAGAAACATTTTTTCCTGCAAAAAGAAATTGACATAAAATGTTTGCCAAATCCTATCAGCAGTACGGAAGAAGTATGGGCCGACCCCAAGTGATTGGGATATGGGCAGGGAGATGATATGATATGAAGTATACGTGGACTTTGTGCTGTCCTTAAAATGTGATACTATTGAGCGGCATTCGTTGAATAGTCGTATAATATGATTATTATTAGTTTCAGAATTATTGTTTTCACTTCTATTTTTTTCAATAGTCTTTGATAGTGAGATTTGGCGTGTGGGCTACACAAAAATGATTTCTTTTATTTAAAATTTCACCCACTGCTATTTTGATCGACGAGGCATTATCGGTTATATTTTCTGCGTGAGTACTAGGTAATTCAGGCGTAGATATTGCAAGTGATCGCAGCTTTAAGTTTTCTATATAATGTGCCGTGACACTAATATACTGACTTTCGTTGCTATCTATCGTCCAAATATCAGAAGTTAATGCAATGTAATCGACTGTTTGTAATTTTTTTTTCAAAGCTTCTGACTCAATATTATAGTTATGCTCTTAATTTTTTCCGCTATTTTTTTCTGGACGGGAGCTTATAATCAGCATTCAATGCTTTACTATATTTGCGAAAACCTTCATTTTCTACCACTTGTAGTTGTAAGAGGCTGGTAATCCTTAATGCCATACGTGCCAAAGCGCTACCCGGCTCGCCCGTTGCTACTTCATATTTCATTTTGCGAAAAAAAATCGCTCTATTTCTATCGACTAGCCAATAAATTTGGAGCTTATCCCTTTACAAACGAAGTTTTTTTTGTAATCCTAACTATAAAACCTTAATGATGGCTTTATACAGGGTCTGTAGAGCCCGAAAACATCAGTTAAAAAAATCTCATGCTCATAGTTAGCCCACAAATCTACCCGCACGATCGTGAGTCGCAGGTCGTACGCGACATAGTCACGATCGTGAGGGTAATTTGAAATAGCCCCATATCTTGGTAGTTTGAAGAAAAATTAAAGATGTTTTAAGTAATCAGCCTCTTTATTAGTTACTGTAATCATTCAGTCTCATAAATTTTTTCTTAGAACTAAGAATAAAACTAAATTTTCTGGTAAACAGTAAAACAATAACAAAACAAACTTATAAGAATTTACGCAACATAAAAAATCTTACTTATGCAATCAAGTAAAATATGTATAAATAATCTCAAGCAAATTAGGAACTACTAGATCATGCTTTCGTATGGTAAGACTTGAAACAATCTTTTCCACGTGCGATGCACAAGTACGTGTCGCATTTTGTGCATCGTACCTTCGTGCGACTGGTACAATTTTCGTATCTGCACATTCTAGGAGCTTTTAATTCGTCAAACACTGGGAAATGTTCGTATCCATTTTCAATATTACTCGTAGATGCCCGGTTTCTTGCTGGCATGCTTGACAATCCATCAGCAACGTTCATGCGGAAGTCTAACAAGGGTAAAATCTCCCTACGGCTGAGTTTATTTGCAAGACAATGATTGTGATAGAGTCGCCAAGCATTGACAATAGCCAGGTCTAGAAAGTGTATTAACACTTTCAGGGTCCATTTCTTTGTTTTGATGAATGTCCGGTAATACTCCATCTGCTGGTCCAGAACATCAACGCCCCCCATGAGTCGATTGTAAAGTTCAATTACTTTTGGGGCAGACACATCTACATACATCTTCGTGCGTTTTTCCCATCTCTTGACGATTGAAGATGAGGATGAGCCGGTGCAGTTTGACGCCATTATAATCGACTTATTGTCCTTCCATTTGACGACGACAGTCGGTTTGCAAACATACTGCTGCGATTCTCCACGAGCCATCCTAGCATCTGGTTTAAATTTAATTACAGCACGGTCAAGGATCCTATTGAACATAATTGTTCCCGTGCTGTGAAGATTCCTCTTAGTCATCTCTTCAATTAGCGGAACACTGGTAAAATATCTGTCGTGGTAGACACAGCAATATAAGCGTAGTGATTTTAATGAATTATGGACTTACAGTGCTAGCTATTTAGTGAACATAATCTAATAGCGTAGTGACGTGACGTAGTGCAAAGTATGACTTGCAAAAAACGGATGCAACTTATTATGTTCGAACTGTAAGTACACTTCGTATAGCTTAGTATTAGCGCTTATAAAGGCTATTATAGGCAATTTACGAAGGAATAAGCGGAAATAAGCTCTTCGTAAATGTAATTAGGCAATTGTTGCACAACTTTAGAAAAATCTAGCGACAGTATTTGCACAAATTGAGTTGAAAGAATAGGATATAATTGGAACGGGCTCACAGTTACAGTTATTCCTCAGTAATATTCAGGTAGCAACAATCGGCGTAGTCTAAAATCGGAAGTAGAAGAGAATAGGCTAAGGATATTTTAGTTTTGCAACGTAGAAGGTTTTTAAAACGGCTCAAAAATCCGATGGTAGCAAAATTTTTCCTACTAACCTCAACAATTTGCACAGTCCAGGACACGGAATTGTCTAATAAGGATTTTCTGCATCTTCTTCTCAGATATAAACTTTCCTTTTATAGTTTTATATTCATTTCCCTCTTTTCTAAATTGCCTTGCTACAGTACCTTTCCATATTATTAAATCCATGGACGAAAAACGTAACTTTTTTATTTTGAGAGTGAATTTCAGTAAATAATCAAATGCTCTAGTATGCTGTTTTGAATTTTTAATAAGTAATCAAATATAATATTAATAAAATAAAACAAATTTTAATAAAATATTTTGTAGTTATCACACTGGTTTTGGTATCATACTCATAATTCGTCAATATTTCGTGTTCCCTGTATTCGCAATAGGTGCCTTAAGTCGTTGAGGCATGCTTCTAATGCATGACTGTATAGTTTTATGAAGATGAGGATTATGGTTCCACTTAAAAATTTAAGCTGTGGTATCAGTCTGGTTTCTGGGACTTTTTTATATTGTTCTTGTCGCATTATTTTTTCTACAATATAGAGGCGCCCTGCCCCTTTTCCTGATATGACAGGCCAAACCACAATAGAAGGTGGATGTTTCACAAACAAACAAACTTTGATTTTTCCATTAATACTTGAAACATTGACTCGTCGGAAAAACAAACCTGTTATAACAACATTTTGTTTTAAATTTATGATCTTCAATATTAATATTAATGATTTCTAATAATATTAACATATTTTTTACCTTTTGCCAATCATCAATAGTGAAATTTTTATATTTACGGGCCCAGTCACGTCGCTTTTTCATCATAGTCGAAGTCAACTTCGGTTTTCGCGCAGGCTTACGCGCGGTTAATCCATTTTCAGCAAGACAGCGCTGCACACTTCGCTGAGAAACAAGTATTGCATCATTCCTAATATTCTTCGTAAGCAGACTAACTGGTAATTTTCTATTTTGGACACAGATCTCTCGTATTTTTTCTATCAGTTCTTGTGGTTGTAATGCGTCGTCGACCGCACGCACATTTTCTTTTTGGCGACAAACTTATACCGGATTCCATTTTTTTGTAATATTCTTCACGGAACTTCTCGATATGCCTGTGGCTTTTGCAATTTCATATTGTGATAGTTTAGTAGCCTGTAAAAGACCACACACTTACCCAATTTTCTTGGGAGAGAGGTCACCATTTTTTCCATTTGAAATATTAAAAAAACCTTATTTTGGTAATTTTCTTACTATATGTTTTGCCAAGAATATAACACAAAGAACAGATTACTTTTTTTTCTTACGCTGTTTTGGCGTCGTCTTTAGCCTGATGCAAAGCGTGGAGGATTTATGTGGTTCCTGCAAGTGATCGCATATGTATCACTAAAAATTTGTCGTACGGCGGATTTTCTTTTTAGAACTAGCTGCTTCACCTCCCGAAAATATTCCTCACTATGATGATGTAGCGACCGACGACTTATCCTGTGTCGCGAGGGTAGTCTACAGAGGGAAAAGTTTTACCAACCTTATAAAATTAACAGCGAAAACGGGACAGTAATAAGGATTGTGTCGGTGACCGTCGACTTATTTTATTAATAATGTAAATTTCTACATTCAGCGACGAAATTATTGATAAATTCCGATCCAGTGATGGCGGTGGTCGGGACTATCCTCATTGATATCTTCATTGTCAGATTCATCACGATTTTTGTCGAATTCGTAACAGAGGGCATCGCTTTTAATAGATTCCATGAGACGTTCCTGGGCGGCGAAACAGCTACGACTTTCATCACCGTTGATGGCCTCTGTATCCGACATTGCGTTGATCAGACTATCACAAAAGACAGCTGGAAAACTGTTCATGTCATTTTGTTAAGAGACCGACACATCTGACAAAAAATCTTTCACACTGAAATGTTTTCCTTCAAAGCATTTCCATCGGTAGACGAATTTGATCTCATGCGCAATAATCAATGCGCATACACGGTGGATGTGGATTTTCGTCGGGTGACTGGAGCCACTTTATGCAGATGTCAATGTACACATTTAAAAAGCATTCGCAAAAGGCTGTACATACTGCATTGAGCAGAGCCAAGTAGCAATCCGTCACCACTTTTGTACGGGTTAGTCGCCATCAAAGATTCTGTAGCGTCGATTGACAAAGAACCAACTTTATAAATCTTTACATTTGAATGTTTCATTCTACAAGTACATTTATTCTGCACTCCAATAAAACGTATAAAACTTACTTATACAGACTTCTTTCAATAAATCCGCAAATTCAGCCTTGTTATGTAATTTTTCTACAAATCTGGATTGGATCGGAAACGTTCGAAAGGCCCAACTATCATTTTCCAGTTGTGTTGCTTTTCGTAATACATCTTCTGCATTCAGATGTGCATGCTCAAGGTTGCCGAATTCCATCTTCTGGTGGTCATTTTTACTTCGCCAGACATAAACACCGTCGTTTTTTTACACTCTGTACCAGACGTATCAATTGTCGATATGTGCATCGCCATCTCCTTATCGGATAATTTAACCGATGGCAAATAAATTTGTACGATGTTATCACATTCTCGACATTTACCGCGAACTGTAAATAAAGATTTCCCGGTTTTTTTTATTTACACAAATCCGGAGGCAAACGAGCATGGAAGCTTCATATGCTCCCATAGCCATCACGTCATTAATATCGCTAAATAACCCATAAATATTAACCCAACGTAAAAAAAAAATGAATGGTGAGTAATAAGTTAGAATTTATATGTATAGTTTCTTCTGATACATTGAGTACTGTTTAATTTATTCTATGATTACGAGTATGTTTCACTTTGACTATACAATTATATACTAGTAATGAATCCGAAACGTGCTGGTCAAATATCATTCCTTCTTTTATCTGAGGATTTTTTACAGAGTATTCAATTACTGTTTCGGTTCGTGGCATGATAATATAGGAAGGTTCATCTAATGATAATTTTATATTATTATTTGTAATTTCCAAGGATTCTGAGTCGTAGTTAATACAAAAGGCATATTGTATATAATGGTCGTTCGTTGCCTATTATACCGTCATAAGGTAAGTTGATATTATCGAAGACATGGAATGTGTGCATTAATTTAAAGTCTTTAGTAAATTGTAATTTAAGACAACCTAAACCTTTTTTATAGGACTATCACCTTTTAAATTTATACGTTTTACTTTAACATCGGTATCACATAGCTGTGTAGAATTTATTATACAATTATTTTTTAGGACGCAAAGGGATGCCCCGGAATCTACGAAGAACAGAAGTAGTTTTTTATTTACAGATGTTTGGAGTATGACGTAAGGTAAGTAAGTACCTTTTTTGAGTATTAAATTCATAAGGATGTCCAGAAATCATTTCACTAGGAAAACCGTGAGTTTGAGGCTGATTACCCGTGTGACCTTTGGATTTAGATGTATGGACACTCGTTTGGGGCTGGACCCCCGTGTGGTCCTTGGATTTAGAATAGGTGTCGTTGATTTTGAAGGGTTTTGCGAGAGGTAGTAAGTTGGGTCTCACGAGACACCTCAGAAGGAAAAGGGTTCACCAACCTGGTAGCTGCTGCTTTTCGTACACTTCTCACTTCACTCCAGAGGAATTTTATAGTTACTAAACTCACTAGCTGGCCAGTTGAACGAACACGTATAATAAATGTAGCAACTGCAGCAGAGTCCAAAACTATCATATGCTCGCGAGACGACACGTCATTGTCTATTGAGCGCCTAATTGACACTTACAGGAGGTAGGATGGTAGGTCATAATATATATACATACATGTCTATGTTATAAAGAATAGTACGAATGGCCTAACCATACCCCCGGGCTTTAAGGGTTGCTTTTAAGAAATATATTTTAATTATTATAGATCTAAAGCTAACTTATACACTATATGTAACATTAAGCTACTATAATAACAATTTTAGGTAGTTATAATTTATATACACTAATGCTAACTTAAACTATAGTTAGACATAATGGTCACTGATTAGGTAGTGGACACAATTTTACAACAAGACGAACAAAGCCGTAAGACAAGTGGTAATCATGTTGAAAATGATTCGCATATGAAAATACCAGAGGTGCGAGACCCGGGATATGAACCCGCTTCATTCGGTTACCCAAGCGAGCGCATTACCACTGGGCTACCACTGCCTCATATTGTCTTGAGACATTGGAGAAGAAATTGTCTTAAAATCTACAAATAAACAAGTAAATATTACACATAAACATTTAATATTTGCAATTATCGTAGTCCACACACGGGGTAGTTTCTGGCACAATTTTTGGGTATTTTGTATGTTTCTGTGATTTTGTTGATCCTAGAAGTAAAATAATGCTTGATAAGTATGTATATATTACATGACAAATTTATTTCAAACCAATTTAAGCTTTCACCATTACATATTAATTTTAGGATACTTTTAGGTAACATACAAATAAATATTTTACATTGAGCGATTATTATTTGTAGAATACATAATATTATTAAACTAGTGATCGTTTCGTGGTCGTAATTAACCATCTATACATATAATCAAGTTCTAAATTAGTCTGATCAATAAATATTTTTTGGAAAATTTTATTGAAATTATAATTATTATCGATACGGAGGCTGAATATATAATTTTTAGAATTTTTATCTGTCTGTCTGGGAACGCATCACGAGAAAACCACTGGACTGATTTTGATGAAATTTGGTATGATGATAGCCGGTTATTCGGGTCAACATTTAGGATACTTTATACTGTGAGAAAATATCTCATCTCTGAGAAATCTATACTAACCGTTAAAACGTAGAGACGAAACCGAGCGGAGCAAGGTTGAGTCGATAGTAATTCATTAAGTTTGAAAGTTATTGAGGTTATTTTATCATGTTAAATCTTTCTCACTTCTATATTGATATTATAAAAAGACAGAGCTTGTTTGTTATTGAGAAAGGCTATCATATTATATATACTATAATCTATATACTCCATACTAACCATTAACAGGTAGGGAAGAGTCCACAGTGCCGAACAACTAAGCTTAGATAGCAGTTAAAAAAACGAATCCCATATTAAAGATTTAATGTAAATTATTAAGTACAAAACAATCATAGACACTCAAATAAATTAATAAAACAAACAAAAATAAACAAATTGTATGTTTTAACTTAAGTTTCTCATTGGTATAATTTTTTGATTAAATAAACTGTGGTACCTAGTACCGAACTTAGATATTAAATGGCATATACGGCCGAACACTCTTAAAAAAAACGGCATCGGTCACAAATATATAACTCAGAGCACTCTGGTATATCAGCACATGCCTCGTGCGCCCATTCATTGCATGAGTTGCACTGTATCCAGTCCTCATCATGATCTTCTAGGCACACAATACATGAAGTCTCCTGGGTGGCCTGCGAAGATACGTTCTCTCGTTTCTCTTTTAATGACGAAACTTTAGTCTTCTCATAATCTTTTCTGTTTTATCTGTCTTTTCTTTTCCTCCTTAAGCTTTTTCTCATTTTTTTTACTTTCCAGGATCAATTTGTATGTAGAAGATGTCAGAATTTGACTTTTCTCAGATTTTCGTTTTCTGGTTTGAGCTCTTTTCTTTGCGGCGTCTGGTAATGGTGAAATGTTAAAAATGGTTTTTCGTACAAAATCTGGATCTTTGCTAGTAGAAGGCTGTCGTGGAAGATTTTGCGGTAATAGGGGGGAAGTAGGTATTTGCTCTGAAATTTTTTGAGGAACATCAGGTGGAAGATGATCGACTCTAATTTGTTCTACGTCAACCTCTTCTATTGGAATGTTTGTAATGTCACTTGGTATATAGTCCAAATCGCTAAAGATATTTTCATTAAATGGATATATACCGGTACACTGGCTGCTGCTATTTCGTAACGTGCTACCTTTTTAAAAACATGTAATACAAGTCCTGCAATATCAAATTGTGTAATTCTTGACCCGGCATTACTACTTACCCACATTCTGCATTGTTCATTATAGGAATCCTTAAAGGGTTTCATTAACAACCTATCCAAAGGCTGGAGTTTGTGTGTTGTGTATGGTGGTGAGCTAATAAGGTGAATGTGGTTATTTCTGGACCAGTTTATTACGTCCAAGGTCTTGTGACTGCTGTGTCCATCAAGTAAAAGTAGAATTGGAGACTCCTTTGAAGGCCGAGCAAACTTAGTAAAATGATGCAACCATTTTAAAAAAAACTCATTCTTCATCTAACCTTTGGGTTGGGCCACACCTTCACTGTCAGGAGGTGAATTTATCTTTAGCCTTTCATGCATTCTCTGGCGGAGAAAAATGAAAAAAGGAGGTATAAAATAGCCTGTCGCACTCATGTAAAATAAGATGGTAACGTTTTTCCCCCTTTCAGCTGAGGTGAGCTTTCCTATTTGACGTGTATTTTTTTTGCTATAACCTTCGCGTTCTTTTGTACCGTTGTGACGCCGGTTTCGTCACAATTATATATGTTTGATAGTTGAAAATTGTATTTGTCTTAAAGGCTTTTTAAATTAGTACAAATGCATTCACCTGGACCCTGTTAAATCCAACCGCGCGCATCAAGCTGGTAGACTCTGCTGTTCATAGTGACAAGTCTGGATGACGTTTCATGTATTCGTAATAAAAATGTTTTCTAGTAGTTTCTTTTTGTACATTAAAACGATGTGGTATTTTAAGATGCACAGCTAAATCGAAGGCTAGTTTCGAACATTCCTTTCTTGTTAATGGCATACATCTATCAGCTAAGTCTTTGACGTGATTTGCTAAAACATTCTCATAATAATAATAATAATAATATAAGCCTTTATTCAGACATGGTTTTACAATAAAGATTACAAACAATATTCACTTGTTTTCTTTTTACACATCTATGACAAATTACTTAAGATACATATTCGATTTTAGTTTAGTTTTACTTATTCTATTTATATATTTATCTATTTTTATTATATATTTTTTAGTTTAATATATATATATATATATATATATATATATATATATATATATATATATAAATATACGTGTGTGTTTTTTATTATTATATATTTTTTTTATTTACAAGATTACTCTGCCTCGACAACCTTGTCTGTTTGCCCTTTGTTGGCAAAGGCCTCCATAACTGTCTATCTCTAGCTAGTCTGGTCCATGTGCCGCCTGCCACAGCCCTAATGTCATCATCCCATCTTTGGAATGGTCTACCCCTTTTTCTCTTCATGTGACCTGTATACCAGTTGATTAGTGTCTTACTCCATTTTTCTTTTCCTCTGATTGTATGTCCAGCCCATTTCCATTTTAAGTTTCTTGATCATGACAGATACATCTGTTGTTTGTGTATGATTTTTTATCGTTGATATTTTTACAACATTAATTTTTATAACATTCTCATACTCTGATGAATAGGTCTTCGTAAACCTCCCTAGTATCGGTTTCATTTCGACTTCCTTACCATCTCTTATTAATTTCAACTTATCATATAAAGTAGTAGTGGGATTGCCATATCTCGAAGCTGCTTCTCTTAAAGTCATTTTTTTCATGATTACTTTTTCAATTGCGATCTTTAAGTTTTCTGATCCCCAACGACCCTTCTTAATTTTTTCCACAGTACTGAATACACAATAATGAATGAACTTGCAACACTTAAAATAACAGTGTGATCATCGAAACATTTACGTTCGGACATAGGGGAAAAAATACTGTTCGGTACTAGGGACTCACCGAACAGAATTAAAAACAATATAAAATAAAAAATAGTAATTTATTTTTCAGACACAAGAACGTAAAACTACTTACCAATGACAATTTAGTCACGTATCAAATAGATTCCACACTTATATTTAATTTACAATTAATAGGTTAAGTTTACAGGTGACGCCGATTTCCCGCTTATAATCTACAACGACTGTTCTCGCTCATGCTGCGAGTGCTACTACGCGCTCCCACGTTACCCGCGGCATATCTGGTTTTGTCTCTCTCTGTTGCACGAAAAAATATCGTCCTACTTCGTTTATAAGTTACGTTTACGACATTCGTTAGGTACTACCTGCCGTTCGGCGCTAGTGGACTTCTCCCTACCTAGATTATAAAATGCAAAAAGGTTTTGTACATAGCAGTCGTAGTTCCAGACATTAGCGTCTTATATACATAACCAACACACTTTCAGCTTTTTTAGCATAAAATTGGCGAAGCTTTCAAAAGGTACTTAATGTTGAGCACTCTGTAGTATGCCAAAAGCTAAGCTAAAGAAGTACAAAGTTTTCTCTTAATGTATGAACATAAAGATAAGGATAGCTTACCATCAAGAGACGGAATTTGCACGCAAGGAGGACGGACTATTCTTGCCTGACGCAACAGCGTACTGGTATTGCTAATATCTAGTCGCCATTTATGGAATAAATTCTGGATACCATGCTTCAAATTAGCAAACGTGTGTTTCTTTTCTGCAATAAATTATTTCTTTGACCAACTTTTTTTGGCCGGATAGGTTTGGTACACCTATTTTGAAATTTCTCCATTATCACGGAAACATTTGTTTTTACAATTTAGCGAATGTCGAATTTTAAAAATACTTGGTATAAAAGCTGACAATATCATTCTCAGTTTAATACTTCTACTTCCATAGTAAGCTACGAGGCTTGTGTTATGGATACCCGATATTTGATACACTACACATATATAACTTTAAATACATACATATTATAAATATAAACACCCATGACTGGAGTACAAACATTCATGCTCATCACACAAATATGTACCCAGCAAGACTAAAACCCGCGACCGCTCGCACAATAAGTAGGGTTACTACAAACGTAGCCAAAAGTGTCATAAAAATTAGATAAGGTTGGCTATTTAAATTTGAATTGAAAAGTCACTTCATGGTTATCAACACAGCTAAATTCCTTAACATGCCACTGACCTACATCATGCATGCATGTATTTAGGAGTATTTTAAAATCAGAATTTCTTTTCATCTAATTTTTAATTTTCGGATTAAAAGGCGGATTATGCCAATGGTTCAAATAAAACTTGTATTGACGCTGATTTCAGTTTACTTGTAGTTGTTTTTGGAAATAACAAAAAAGGTTAAGTTTTATAATCTATCGATATGTATATAATTGATTTACGGTTTCATAAACCGTATCTAGTAGAGCCATCATGTAGGTTTGTAATGAACAATTGGTAGTCGACTTAAGCATCAAATTTGGTTCTTCAAATTGCCGGTAGGGAATCCGTACATCCGTGAATTTTCATTAATTTCAAAACAAATTTACAAATTTTGCTTTCAAACTTAACGTTAAAACTGTCTTACCTTTAATAATAACATTTAGTAACATATTTATTGATCCAACATCCCATTGGAACAGTCGTACATGCAACTGACTGATCTGATAAAGTATAGAGTAGATGTCGTCTTGACCGTACATTGTTGTGTTCACGTTCAAAAGCCGAATCAATCTAAAAATATAATTTCGTTCTAACTTTATTTTTAATGAGCCCAATAAAAAAATCAACTTAGGGTTTAAAATTAGGTGCTGTTCTTCTGAGATCCTCTTTGCATTTAGCCATCGTGGTGGACTATGGCCGGAACGTATTGAGGGGAGGTTCGTGAACAGTAGTGAGACTTTAAAAATGGAATAACATCAACAAAGACTTTTTCAATCTTTTTTCGTAGTTGTTTACACATGTCCAATATGCCATACACTTAGTAGTCTATGAAATACCTATGGCAAATTAATGGTTGTTTCTGAAGTAATTTCATTTTTCTAAATTATATAACTATCATATATTATTGTTTTGATAAATAAAAGATTTTAGTAAGAGCGAAATTCAATTTGTTCCAAGTAAAAACTGAAAACTGCATACAATTGAATTTGAACAGCTAAGGGTTTTGTAAAACAGCTGATACTATCATGAATATACCCCATATTAATAAAGTAGGTACACACGATTACTTTAAATTGTCTCCTGAGATTCGTTAATTATGTTCAGTTTTTACTGTCTCACTTTCTGTTACATACGTATTTTTGAATTTGTTGTCAAAATGATATATACCTAATTGCTATTAAAGGAGCTTTTAATAAATAAAAAATGTATACATATATCTGCTTACTTAAAGAATGAATGATTATTAAAATATTTTTTTGTGATGTAAATTAAAAAAAGATAAAACAAAATATTACCTTTTTACAGTAGCATCTCTCGGACTGAGACGTTTAGGATTACTGATATTTACTTTAACACCATTCAACAAAGGAGTGATCATGTCCATACAATGCACCCATTCTATGCGCTGACTTAATAAATCCTTATTATAACCTCGCCTATAAAATATTTCTAACGGCTTTTTTATGCGTACCCTTTTTACTTTACGTATACGTTTATTCGCACGCGTTTTGCTGAATGAAGTGTTATCATTGCCAATTCTCATTTTGGCGGGAGTGGTGTTGTCAAATTTGACAGTTGTTGTTTTCTTTATCGCTGGCAGTCTTAGTGCGGCATGAGATTTTGTTTTGCTTTTAATTATTATCGGTGTTATTGGTTTTTTTTTATTATCAATATATTCGTAATCTTCTATAACGTCTTTCTCAACTTTTGGATATAATTCTTTATTTCGCAATGTATATATATCGTCGATGATTTTTTGTCGTAACATTTTTATTCTCTCTTTTTGTTTCAGCGTTGTAGATGTTATTTTAAAACTTGTTTGGTGTACATATTGGGCTGTTAGAAATATTGAGTTTAGTGCTAAATATTTTATTTTATTTATTTAGGTACAAAAACAGAAAACAAATTAAAAAATTACATCTTCGTATTAAAATTATGTAAAAAACCTGATATTTTCTAAAATTTACTTACCTATTATAAAAATTAAAACAACCAACCTCATGTCCGCTTGTGTTATATTTAATTTATGAATGTTATAATGAAATGTCGTTGCCTGAAATTAAATTCAGCGAACCAAATGAAAACAAACATTTCTTTTAACACAACAGCTATTATTTTTTAGCAAAAAGTTTTTAATTTGAACTTATAACTACCTACTTCGAGTTACTTGATGCATGAACCATCTATCTGATCAAAAGTTTGAAACATAATCTACGTTAGACAAAAAACGTCGACAAAATAAATAAAATTATATCTATACTAATATTATAAAGAGGTAAAATTTGTGAGTTTGTGACGTTGTAGGGGGTAATCTCTGGATCTACTGAACCGATTTCGATGAAATTTGGTAAGAAGATACTTTGAGACCCTGGGAAGGACACATGATACTTTTTATCCCGGAAATCATTCCTTAAGGGGGTGAAAATGGGGATGAAAATTTGTATTGGGAAGCAAACTATACAAACAAATCCTTAGAAGTTTAACAATAAGTCGATGATGTTCTGGAGCCCAAAGATGGATAGTAGAAGTCTTCAATGGCTACCAGTAAATATTGTATTTTTTTATTTATTTTATCTTTTAAGTATAATACATATGAGTCCGCCAAACCGCACTTGTTCAGCGTGGTGGACTATGGCATGATCCCCCACGTATTGAAGAAATGCCCGTGCTCAGCAGTGAGACGGTAAAAAGGGCTGAATACATATGTACATAAAATTTGGTATTGAGGATATGGAGATAGCGACACTTTATAGCTTGTAATGAGAAGCTATTTATAGAGTTTCGCTTTTAAAAGTTTCGAAATAGCAAAATAATACTTAAAATATCTTTCTTGTGCCTGTAATATGTCGATATAACTGAATTTATTCTACTTCGGCAGGCAGACGTCGCGGGCGTCATAGTTGAGTGCGTATGCGATCCCCATTATGATGAGAGAGGTTCCGTTGGGTTTTAGTGAGTATTACTGGCTTCTCTAGCCGGTGATTCCCACATAACCACGTGTATGTGTGCGGGTGGTATGCATAAATGCTTTTCCCACACACACAATTATTATTTTAAAAGAGCTATTGTTGAGTTTTTCGCCGGTTCTTCCCAGCAGTACTGCCTTTCCAAGCCGGTGGTATCTTCCTCACGGACTGACTATACTGACATTTAATTTTAATTTAAAATGTAAAATTGACGATTCAAGAGTGCTTGTAAAAGTCTATTTGAATAAATTACCTATATTTTGATTTGATTTGAGTATTTTAAAAGCCGCTATTTTAAGTATAGGTATTTTAAATATAGTAGGTATCTTTACATCCTTATCAAATTTACTGCTAGCTATTAGACTTCCAATTAAATTAGCTGTAACAATCTATACTTTAATGACCATTTGAAGTTTTCATTACTTAAGTTTCAAAATTACTTTGAAACGTTGTAATTATGATGTTCATTATTTTGCTACTGGCTATATTATCGGATTTTGCGGGTAAGCTAAAATAATGTATACGACATGTTTGGCTTAATTTGTAGTGACACTACTTGTTGTGCCAGCGGTGGTGGGTTTGAGTCCCGCAGGGGACATTCATCTGTGTGATGAGCACGAATGTTTGTACTCCAGTCATGTTGTGGTGTTTATATTTATATTATGTATATATTTAAAGTTATATATGTGTAGTGTATCAACTATCTGATATCCATAACACAGACCTCGTAGCTTACCATGGAATTAGATGGTGCTGTGTTAATGTCGCAATATATTTATTTTATTTATTTAAAGTGTTTAAAAGCTTCCAATCCTAGATTAAAACTCAAAAAAATCTTTCATTCGAGTGCTTGACGTACATATTTAGTTCTTTTCTTCTACTCAATCATCACACTAAGTGTCTAAAGAAATATCTATGTACTATACACATCGACCAAACAACTACAAGATACAAAATCAGCGACAAAAAGAGCGCGCTTTTTTTTGTAGAAATAATTCTAAGCATTGCATTGAAGTATAATAAGTACATTGTTGAACGATGAATAAACATCAAAAGCCGTCCGACAGTTTCAGTGTGAAGGAGGAACAAACATAAACGCACAAACAAACTTTCGCATTGTAAATTGTAATAGTAGCGTGATAAAATCACTTTTTCAAGGTACACTCTCCGATGAACAGACGATGGAGAAAATAAAGAAAATAATTCTCAATTCAATTCTTTTGTTCATTGGTTGGATCCTAAAAGTGCCGTTTGGCCACAATTTACTTTCCCAACGTCGCTCATAATGGAGAGCTGGGAAGGCACCATATATATAAAAATATATATTGTACTAGACAGTAGAGGGTGAGTACCCTCGCTTCGCTCGGGTTCGTCCCTAGGTAATTCTATAAATTGTCATAACTTTTTTTATTTATGAACCGATTGAAATAAAACAAATACTAAATATTAAGTGAAGCTTACCACAATACTTTAGTGAAAATCGCATCGAAATGGGTTTGGTCGTTTCTGAGATTAGCGCTAACAAACGCACAGACAAACAGATAAAAACTTTGAAAATCATTAGGTTCTATTGCGTTAATTAAGACCCCCAGGTTTCTCAAGTACAGACAGCGATCAGTTACAATTTTATTATATGTATAGAAGATATATTTTAATTTTGAAACATAGCATAAATAAACACCAAAAAACTATATATATATATATAGAAAAAAATTTTACTAACAGTAGAATAATTAGTTACAAGCTGTATTTGAACTCGGTACTTTTATTTAAAAAGCAATTATTTCACAGATTGCAAAATGGCGAAACCCTTTAATCAGACCAGGTAAAGATTTCTTTCATTAGGATATTTACTTACATATGTACGTCGTATCTTCTATTTTCGGCTATTAAAAGAAAACTAGTTTCTGACCTAACGTTCGTGCATTATTATTTTTGCTCTAAGTTCTTGGAATATAAAAAAATAAAAGACTTTTTAAATAAAATTATTCGCAGCGCCACCCTTAATATCGCTTGGACGCGTTTCGAAGGACACTTTTTCATATACGGAGAGACGGCTCCATCTCTCTAATCTCCATAATTGCGCCTTACAGCATCTGCTATTAAAACGTTATTTCGTAAACTGTGATATGATTTTTTTATTTTACTTTTTTTTTCAGACCAGTAGCAAAATATGACAATCCCAATTTTATTCATGACAGATATCACGGTAAGTTACATAAACTCGTGCACTCAAAGGCACATTTTTTAATGAATAGCTTTAGATTTTTTTTTCTATTTGACTATACTTTTATTATAATACAGAAAATTACAAATAAGTATACTTAATTATATATACAAAACAAATGTACACTTGTTATTATTGTCATGTCTTTGGGCGAAACATGCGCCAGCTCGCCCGTCACTAGTATATGATAAGACAGGTGTTGTCTTTTAAGAAATATTTGTGTAATTAAATCTGTTAGATTTGATAAATTAACTCACACATGTACTAGTCTGTCTCGTGCTCGGAGATTAGCATCAAAAAATATAAAAGATCCTATCCAAAGATATATTTTACCAATGTTGTTCTTCACTCCTCAGTTATGTATGAAGATCTATTAGTATACTCTTACAATGCAGTTTTTGTATTTTTTCTCAGAAATGAGATATTTTCCCGCGGTAAAAAGTATCCTATATGTTGACCCGGATAACCAGCTATCATCATACCAAATTTCATCAAAATCTGTCCAGTGGTTTTCTCGTGATGTGGTAACAGACAGACAAAAATTCTAAAAACTATAGATTCGGACTCTGTATCGATAATAATGTCTATTTCAATAAGATTTTCCAAAAAAATATTTAATGTACAGATTCGACTTAGTTACAATTTTATTATATGTATAGATATTCGACTTTTCTTAATTTAATTGGTAAAAGAATAACATGACGTTTTAAATAAAACTATCTTTTCGGATTTTTTCTATCTCGATCTCGCCCGAGAGAGAGAACCATAATAGCTGTAAAGCATTCAAAACTTCAGAAACCAAAAATCTAAATAAATTCATTTAAAATGTCAAATATTCGCGTAAATCTAAGAAAGTGTTATCACTAGACTTTTCCGCGAATCTCCCAACCTTATAATGCGAGACTGGGATTTGAATCCGCTGACTTGATATTGCGGATACAGTATTGTAACCTACATTTTCTCTATGAAAAGACGAAATTTGGAAACCAACGATGCACGAGGCGTGGGCGAATCAATTCAGAAAGCCTTTCCATCCTGCCTGGATGGACTATTGCGATCCCTACCATTGCAATGACTATCACAAACTCGCGTGCGGATTGAATAGGAAGAAAATGAAATTTAAATGGTTCCAAAGCAACTGCCATATCATTGTGCACAATATGTGCGCGCCGTATCGTGGAGCTTTGAGTAAGTTCATTAAGTTTTTATTTTTGCACGCGTCTTAGGCACTGTCTTGTATTAGCCACTGCGAGGCAGTGGTTTTTTTTTCTTTTTTTTTTCTTAACCTCCAACATGGAGGAAGGAGTCTGTATATAATTCTTTCATACCAGTTCTCGCATTTTTGCCTCTCGCACTTCCATTCCTCATACTATACATATCTTTCTGTCATTCATCCGCATTTATTCATAAGCTATCCTATTTTTATTTTTCTTTATTCCTTATACTATTAACTCGGGGATAATGAGTGGGGATAATCAGTAATTTTTTTATTTACATTTTAGGACTTAACTTAGATATACTCTAATTTTTATGTCTATTTCTTACATCTAATTTATTGATTTTAATTTGCTTACTTTTTATTTAAATCACTTTTAAAACTATTTTAATCTATTACAAAAATGTTGGTTCTAGACTAATCCTACTTATATACTATATACATTGTTTATGTTGCAACTAATATAGAGGCAGTGGTTTATCACCACAAAGAAGTTCTCAGATCAGTGATGTCACTCCGCGAAGCCTGTGAGGTTCCCAGGAATCTAAACTTATTCTAAGTTAGCCAGGATTCAGGACGTACAACGGACCAAATTAGAGTCTTATTACGGAAAATATTTTTATATGACGACACGTTTAGCTCAGTTTGTAGTGACCCTACTTGCTGTGCCAGCGGTCGCGGGTTCGAGTCCCGCTGTGGGCATTCATTTGTGTGATGAGCACGAATGTCCGTACCCCAGTCATGGGTGTTTATATTTATAATATGTATGTATTTAAAGTTATATATGTGTAGTGTATCAACTATCTGGTATCCATAACACAAACCTCGTAGCTTACCATGTAACAAGATGGTGTTGTGTGTTAATGTCCCAACATATTTATTTATTTAAATAAGCTATTGGAACTAGTATTAAATTAATACAAAAATTTCTTGGAGGTGGGCGTTATTGGCTACAACATAGTTTTCAACTAATAGAGTTTTGGTATTCTAATGATTTAATAGTTAATACAATGGATGACAAATATTATTACACAATATGGACGACAAAGATTAATATATATGCTATAACAGTTTTTGCAGCAAGAATACACCAAAGTAAAAACCACAGAGTATATCTTACAATTTTAAAATAGCTGCCACTTCTTGCGCCGTTATGGTTTTCAGAGGCCATACTTCTGGCCATCGAGTGTATCGGTCGATTGCTGTTAAGCTACAGCTGTAGCCTTCGATGGTAGGTGGTAGAGGCCCGATGATTTCCACATGAACGTGGCGAAGTCTTGCAGTGGGGGTGTTAAAATTTCCCAAGGGCGTTTTGACATGTCTCGTCACTTTTGATTTTTGACAGGGGATGGAGGCACGTGCCCAGGCATGCACGTATTTTTTAATAGAGGGTCACACTTAACGATCAGCCACCAAGCGTACAGTTGTCCGTGCGCCAGGGTGACTGAGTCAATGTAGCTGTTCAAAAATGCTCTTGTGAAATTTGGATGGTAGCAGTGGTCGTTGTTTGCCGGTCGACGTGTCGCAAATTATAGACAAATCGGTACCTGGAACGGGTATCTTCTCCAGCTTTAAAGAAGAACCGCCATCGTTAAAAAGTTCCTTGACTTCCTCGTCGTCCTCTTGGGCTACTGCGAGCTCTTTGCAGTCGCTAGTTAACAGTGATATGGCATCAACTCGCGAAAAAGCGTCGGTGACTATGTTGTCGGTGCCTTTAATATACACAACATCTGTGGTGAACTCAGATATAAAAGAGAGCTTGTTCTGCTGGGCAGGGGGAAGCTTTTCACGCCGCTGGGAGAAAGCGTGCACAAGTGGTTTGTGATCAGTATATATGGTGGCGTGTTGCACCTCCAATATATACCGAAAATGCTGAACGGCCTCGTACACTCTTAGTAGCTCCCTGTAGTAGGCAGGCCAGGCGGTCTGGCGGGGCGTTCTTGCTGAAGAAAGCGAGGGGCTCCCACTGGTTGTTCACCCTCTGCTGAAGTGCTGCTCTGTCATGCGTGCTGGAAACGTCTGTAAAAAGACGATATCGTTTAAAATCGATGAGGATGTCCTCAATATCTGCTGCAACCCTCTCAGGTAAAACACTCAGTACATGGTTATATTTAGTGTTGTCTGTTATAATACCTGAAATTTCAAAATTTGCCTCAGCCTGCGCAAACCATGCAACCACACGACCAGACCAGAATGGAGGAAGCTTTAATGCAATATGTGATACTTGAGGAATGTGATCATCCGAGGGGGTTGGTGCTTTACTATCAGTCATTATTAGCAATCAAACAGAGAAACACTTATAAAAAAAATAGGTTAAACAATTCACAAAATAATAGCGAATGCTTGTAAGAAAATTAAAGGGTAAAAACAATAGCAAATAATAGCAAAACACTTATATAAAAAAAAAATATTAAGTCTTAATTTAGTGGTTTAATATGCTAAAACTTAAACTATTAGTTGATATTGTTATATTATTATGATTAAAGGACAGATCATATCATTATACTATGTTAGAGGAAAAATAAAACTTAATAATAATAAGCTATACACATAATCTTGTTACTGAATTTTTCACCACTACCATTCACCAAGATTGTCACACTGCACAATAGTCAATAAGCAGTTGCATACGGCATGCGTGTTCATATCACGTCGGGGTCACCATTTTGGTATTCTAATGATTTAATAGTTAATACAATGGATAACAAATATTATTACACAATATGGACGACAAAGATTAATATATGCTATAACAGTTTTTGCAGCAAGAATACACCAAAGTAAAAACCACAGAGTATATCTTACAATTTTAAAATAGGCAACCAATCGGTGTTGCCCAATAGATCATTTTGTCGCCACATTGTGTTTATCGTACAATCTATAATGTTACTCTTCAGTTTGTTCCAATAAAGTTTTTTTTTAATCGAGTTCACCATACATTATACCGTATGAGCCATAATCACAATGTCAGTGAGTCAGTAAGGTCAGTCATATCCCATGAGTTCAAATTCAAGTTCAAAATATTTTATTCAGCATTAAATTATTACAATTTTGTACTGAACGTCATGAGTCTACTACCAGTTCAGAAAGAAGAAGCCTCAGACCTGAGAAGAACTGGCGAAAGAAACTCAGCGGGACTAATATTATTTCATTATCTTTTTTTATAAAGTCAAATTATAATTGACAATATTTCTATCAAGTCGAAGTAGCCTGGAGGCGATCATTTCATTCCCAAGGTGTGCCATCTTCTATAAAATCATTTATTGTATAAAACCCTTTAGCACACAAACGTTCTTTAACAATTTTTTGGAATTTGGCGATAGAAGCCTTTTGAACATTTTCTGGGATCCTGTTGTACAAGCGTATACATTGTCCATAAAGAGAATTACTGACTCTGTGTTGACGAGTCACAGGCATTACAAGTTCGTGTTTGCTCTTAGTATTAATGTTATGTATGTCACACTTCTTGGGAAATTCGTGTATATTTTTACGGACATACATAAAATTTTCGTACACGTACTGAGAAGCAACAGTCAATATTTTTATTTCTTTAAATAAAATAGTCAAATAAGTGTGGTGAAAAAAGTGAAAAACATGGGTACATTTCCCATCATAAAAATAAGAACAATTACCATGATTACCTTACATTTATTTAGTGATAGCTATAATCTATTTTTTATTTATATTCTAGAATACGACGTAGTAGAAACTAAATTTTGTGCCGCATATGTAATATCCTCTCGATCTGGTTGTCCGTCAGTCTGTCCAAATATACCATACCCCATATGTGCTGTGAGTTCCATCAAAAATCGTGCAGTCATTTTTAAGAACTACTGCTTTTTAGAAAAAGCTAATTGTCAAGGATTGTTGGAAGGTAAGCATATGAGTTTAAACACAAATGAAAACCGACTTTTAAAGAAAATTTGTAATTATTATGTGGAAATAATAAGTGGTATTTTACTGGAAGTGCGTGGTCTTAAAGTGGCACGAGCTTTATATCATGCGATGTACAGAATAGAAGTTACTTTAGCATGAGATTGAGGAACTAGTTGTTCTGATTTCTGAATTTATTTTAATACTAGCGATTCAACCTCGCTTCGCTCGGGTTCTTCCCTAGCTTGATTCTCCATATAAATTTTTATCCCCCTTTTCACCCCCTAAGGGATGATTTTCGGGATAAAAAGTATCCTATGTTCTTCCCAAGATCTCAAACTATCTTCTTACCAAATTTCATCTAAATCGGTTCAGTAGATCCAGAGATTACCGTAGGGCGTAATCTCTGGATCTACTGAAACGTCACAAACTAACAAACACAAAAACTCTCAAACTTTATCTCTTTATAATATTAGTATAGATTTAGTTAGACATTTCTAAACTTAATATTGTCTGTACATTATTATAAAACATATAAATAAATACATTTTTTTCTTTTCGTGTTATTAAATATTATGTTTTTTTTTCAGAATACGAAGCTGTTGATATGAAAATATGTGGAGCTCTCATTCTATCTAAATAAAATTATCATGCAAACTTTTTTTTTTGTTTTCCTTATCTATATAATAAAATTGTAACTAAGCTAAATCTGTACATAAAATATTTTTTGAAAAATGTTATTGAAATAGTCATTATTATCAAAACAGAAGCCGAATCTATAGTAATTAGAATTTTTGTGTTTGTCTGAGAACGCATCGCGAGAAAACCACTGGACAGATTTTGATGAAATTTGGTATGATGATAGCTGGTCATCCGGGTCAACATATAGGATACTTTTTTCTGCGAGAAAATATCTTGCCTGTGAGAAATCTATACCAATTAAAACGTCATTATTGAAAATTCGAGGAAAACATACCTATATGAATAGAATTTATCTGTATATAATAAAAACTGTTTACGATTTATTTTTTATTTATAATACTGACACGTTTGGCTCAGTTTGTAGAGACCCTACTTGTTGTGCCTGCGGTCGTGGATTCAAGTCCCGATGGGGGCGCTATCCATAAAACAGGCCTCGTAGCTTACCATGGAACTAGATGGAGCTGCGTGTTAATGTACCAACATATTTATTTATAATCTGCTATGAAGGTTTGAGTGAAATAAGAAATGGATAGCTTATATCATAGCACTCGTCTACTATAAAGTATATCCTACACCTGCAAGTGGAGCCACAAAGCAAATACTAGCTAAATAAACGATTATATTTGTTTATAATCTTTGAGTTCATTCATAAATCTATTGAGGAAACACATTGTTTTTTTTTTGAATTTACCAATTAGAGGTAACTTTTTTAATATTTTTCCTAAAAATCTTTTATCTTATTCGGTATACATTTTATGATTTTTTTTATAAAACCAGTCCAATCGTTATCAACGTACAGCATTAAATTTTATTTCACATAGATAAATAATATGTAGATATTTAAATTTTAAAAATTGAAATGAAACTTAACGATACTACAAGTATAAGAGCAATACGTTATCGAGAGCCGCTTCCTCTGGTCCGCTTAGAAAAGATATTGTACGGTAATTTTAACTGTGTTATTACTCATTTTAATTTATTTTATGATATTTATGAATGTTATATATTAAAAATGCTTTTACATAGCTCTGATAATTATGTAAATGATATTAAATATTTTTTTTATATTACTACTACGAAATTTTTAGCAGTACTATATTTTTTTTGATGTTATACTTCTTTTGGGACGTTAGGAAAAAATATGAGAGTAAAAGTTTTACGATGCGTGCGCACACCGACAGCCAAAAAGCGACATTATGACGCTAGCTGTATTCCATTTACAGAGAGTGGTGACATACGGGATGATATCTTTAGCTATTTTTGTTCTGTTACGCCAAAGAAGTATAACTTGTTACGTGCGTACATAAGCACACACACGTTTTTTTTATTTTATTATTATTATTCGTAGTACGAATATATAATTTTAATAATTACTGAAACTAATAATTATTATATTAAAAACTAGCGACCTGACTTACCTTACCTTGCGTCCTTAAGTACGTTTTAATTTTATTGGGCGAACCCATATTTCTTTTTGTAAAATTAAAGTAGCCAAGTTACTCTTTATAACATCAGCTATCTGCCAGTGAAAGTCCTGTCAAAATCGGCTCAGCGGTTTCAGAGATTAGTCGGAACAAACAGGTAATTTATACTTTTACAACTAAAGACAGTATCACACGCTATAGTATTATATTCAATTTAAATCGGTCCAGCCATTTCAGAGTGAAAGAAAAACAAACGTACAAACTTACATAATTATATTAAAAGTTCTTAGTTATTTTATTTTAGCATTGATTATAGTATGAATATAATTATTAATAAAAAAATGAAATGAATGAAAAAAAAAAAACAATATTTTTATGTATAACAAGAAATTTATTAATAACATCATGCACTTCAAAATGATCGATAAAAATTAAAGTATAGAAAATCTTCACAAAATGGATGTCGTTATGCAAAACAGATATTATATAAAATTTTGTATGAAATTTTACTGTAGTTGAAGCCTTAAATAAATTAATAAAATTAAATATAATGAGTAAGACCATCCCTTATTATCATTTTTCATAGAATGTTATAAATTATTTAAAGAAAATATTTATTTATATTAGTTTATTATTATATATATATATATATTCATTTATGTTTAATGTTATTAATATATAAAACATGTTAGTTTTTCTTTGTAGTTTTAGCTTATCTCCAGAACTACCAATAAAATTAGAAAAAAATGAGATGTTGGACAGTTTTATAACATAACTAGCGAACTGCGTTTTAACGTTTAGTATAGATTTCTCAGAGATGAGATATTTTCCGCAGTAAATAGTATATGTTGACCCGGATAACCAGTTATCATCATACCAAATTTCATCAAAATTTATCCAGTGGTTCTCTCGTGATGCGGTCACAGACAGACAGACAGACAAAATTTCTAAAAACTATAGATTCGGACTCTGTATCGATAATAATGACTATTTCGATAAGATTTTCCAAAAAATATGTAATGTACAGATCCAACTCAATTAGAATTTTATTATAGCAGTAAAATATTTTTGATTGTTCAAATCGATTTTGCATAACATCATCCATTTCATAATTGTATATTGGGTTGGGACTAGTTTAAAACATAAGTTGTATTGAAATAAACAGCATCAAAACATTAGCATTGAAAAAAGAACCCGACTGACAGACTTAACTCAATTATTTACTATCATCGATCAAAAAAGCACTAGATACACAATCAGCGACAAAAAATGTCCTCACCGAATGAGCGCTCGTTTGGACATTTGAAAGCGCTTTTAATTTTTTTTTGTGAAAACAACTTTAAGCGTTGCGTTTAAGGTTCAATTTACATTGTTGTATATTTATTTCAACTAGAACAATTACCTAAACACAATTGGTGACAGTTTTAAGAGAACTTTTGCATGGGATTGTGTATCTAGTACTTTTTTGATCGATGTTTACTATAGATTAAAGTCTTAAAGTATATAACATTTTTTCTTTTTTGAAATAAATTTAATATTTAAAATATTTTTTAAAGTTACCCCTAAAATGTATAAAACGAGGGGTATTATTATAACAATATTATTATATATTTCAAGTGAAACCTCCTTATATTTAAGAATTCGGGGGGTATTATCAAATACGGTTCATTTTCTTAAAATACACACATATATACTAATATTTAGAAAACGGTTTTTTAATAAATCCAAAAAGGCACTTTTTACACACAAAAATATTATTTAAAAAACCGTTTAAAAAGTTTTTCAAAACAAATAACATTTTCAAATTTAAATCTCTATATAAAAAGATTGTAATACTAAAATTATTTTTACTTAAGATATTTACATCGACTTAGCATAAAAAACATACATATAAAATGTAAGTTTTGCATCAGGTTGGGGGAAGTCATGTGTTTCTTAAAAAAAATGGGCAAATTCTAATTTAATTTTCTTATCTGTGAATAATTTTTATTATAAGTTAAAATAATAAACATAAAAAACAAACTAAAAGTTTTATTTAATTGTTTAGTATTTTAAAAAATAATTTATTTGCATTTTTTTAAATATTAATCCACTTCCAAAAATGTTGTTTGATTGTTTTATTTTAAACAAAACGTTTCTTAGTTATTTAATCTTTTATATCTATTTAACTATTTTATATCATTTATTTACTATTTAATCTGTGTGACATATTCGTGTTGCTTGCTTTAAATTATTCTTAAAATTTTATTATGATGATGGCAACACTAATGATACATAAAACATATTATTTAAAATTAAATGCATTTCAAAAGTTCAAGAACATATTATTAAAAAAAGACGAGAGCAAAAATATTAAAAATATTATAAAAATAGCACTAGTGTTGCCAACATCAAAATATATATACATATAAAAATCTTACTATCAGATCAAAAACTAATTTAATCTAAAATAAACTTAAAAGTAACTTAAAAAATAATCAACCTATATTAATATTAAATACATATATTTATAAAAAATAAAAGACTGTTGTAAAGCAAAAAATGCTAATAGAAAAAAATGTAAAATACTAATTATATAATAATTAATAAGCAAACGCGAATTGCCATGTAAAAGGGAAATTTACTTAAAAAAATCATTTTTAATGTAACGTCTAACATCTAACTTAATTAAAATCATAATATATATAGTTTAACTTTAATACATATTTAATATTATAAATAAGCCCCGGCAAAATTATTTCAAATATATACATAAACAGCAAATATAAAACTAGAAAAAAAATCCAAAATTTAAAAAAAAATGTGTGAAATCCGTATTAATATTATGTGAAAGTTTGTGAGTATGGATGTTTGTTACTCTTCCACGCCAGAACGGCTGAACGGAATTCGATAAAACTTGGCACAGAGGTAGATTTTAGTCTGGAACAGCACATAGGCTACTTTTTATCCCGGAAAATTGTACGGTTCCCGAGAGATAGGTTTGTTAATATAAAATAATAAATGATAATATAAATAATGTAATAATAAAATAATAATATAAAATAATAAGTTTGACAATATAATACAGTAACTTTAAACTATATCGAATTGAATTGAAACAATTATTATGTCATAATCACAACGCAAATTAAAAAAAAGTATCTTACAAGTAAAAAGATACTTGTAACAAGTATCTTGTACTACCATAGAAAGAATCTTACAATAATCAACTTTCAAAAGCTAACCAAATTTCCTTAACCGACTTTAAAAAAATATAGACGACGAACTCGTTTTTTTTTTAAATGTTCAAATTGTAACAAAAAATTTCAGCATAATATCTTTTTAAAGTATTAAAACGGGAAATTAACTGGCAACATTGAACCACAGAGTAAAAAAATACAAATTTAGTACAAAACAAAATTTATTATAGATTTATTATTATTTTCAACGACATTTCTTCAGGAAGTCTAACACTTCAATGGGGTAATTCTGACGTGTTGTCGATTTTACAGCGGACCGCGCGTACTCGAGTGGGTTCACTGAGCTGTGAATAAAACATACATATAATTTATATTCCTTGGAAAAAAAAACAGTCATGGCAGCCGACAGGAGTGAAAATTTAAAACTATAAACAAACAGTTGTTATTTTTGGATATTCAAGTTAATTTATTGATCTTAAATTAAAGTATGTAAATCTAATCTATCGGCACTCTTGAGTGTTAGCGTTATCACGCCACGTGACCATGTCGATGACGACTTACATGAATTTACTCCCCATACAAACAAACCTGCCTATACAAGTTTACACTTCAAAAACTCAAGCTTTTAAATAAAACTATCTTTTCTTTTCGAATTCTTCCGATTAAGACAGTCTTTCCAGTGACCATTATCGCTGATCAAATTAAACCCGCGAAAGCAACCAAAAACATATTTCCGACGTTTCGATTGCTGTAAAGCATTCGAAACGTCGGAAACCAAAAATCAAAATAAATCCGCGAAAAATCCGAAAAGATAGTTTTATTTAAAACGAAAACATAGTTTTTTTATTTAAATACATACATCTGACTCAAACACAACCCACCTTCTATTCTGCACGTGAGCAAGCCTTCTCCACTCCTTGCGGTCGATGTGTTGGAACAGTATCATGACGATTGTGAGATCACAGTTGGGAGAGTTGACTGCTAGATGGAGGGGGGTGTCGCCGCCCTTTATATCCTGAGGGTTGAAAGATTGATAGATTGAATGGTCGATAGATTAAGTGATTGATAGATTGAGCGATTGATAGATCGAGTGGTTGATAGATTGATAATCTTTTTATTATTTTAGCTTGCTTCCAAATACAAACTTTCATCCCCATTTTCACCCCCTTAAGGGATGATTTCCGGGATAAAATTTATTCTATGTCCTTCCCAGGGTCTCAAACTGTCTACACACTAAATTTCATCTAAATCGGTTCAGTAGATCCAGAGATTAACCCCCTACAACCTCACAAACTTTACCTCGTTATAATATTAGTATAGATTTTGTTGAAAATATCATTCTATATATTCTAGTAATATTATAGACTCGAAAGTTTGTGGGGATGTATGGATGTTTGGTATCCTTTTATTGCAAAAATTACTGAATGGATTTTGTTGAAACTTCACAATAATATAGCTCATATATCAGAGTAACACATAGGCTATAAATTGTAAAGAAATTGAAATATATTAATGTATTACGCGGGCGGAACCACCGGACAACGGTAGAATATTATATATGCGAAAGTTTGTATGTATGTTTGTTTCTCCTTCACGGTGTAACGGCTGGACGGATTTGTATGAAATTTGGTACATGGATAGAATGTAATCTGGTGTGTGCGAGAGTATGTGTATGTATGTATATATTAGGGTGGAGCGAAAAAACATTTTTTTTCTTAGCTTGGAGGTATAATTTGTAGTAAAAGATGATAAAACAACAAACCATATAAAGAAAAAAATTAATTATTTTAAAAATTAGTGACGTTAAATAATTTTATTTCTTAAAAAATTTTGTTTTTTATAAGCTACAAATTCTACCAAGCTAAGAAAAAAAGTTTAAGTTTGTTTTTCGCTCCACCCTACTACAGTATGTATGTTTGTATGTATCAGTGGCGAAGGGCTATTGGCCAAGGGCCAGGGTAATTTTAGCAGAGGTAAGCAGTTTCAAAAAAAAAACACAATAAAACATTGATATACAATTTTTATATGCGCTTTAATTCAAAAAGAACTAAAACTATTATTATATGTATATATATTTCCAAAAGAACTTTTATACATTAAAGAAATTAAATGTATGTAAAATTATAGCAAAATACATTTTAATAGGAGGAAGCTTAAAAGTAGCATCAGTGATAGAGAAGTTGGGAGGTGGCCCTCTTCCGAGGGCAGTGTACCATGCGGGTTGTTTGCTTGATACTTCTCTGATAGCAGAGTGGACTGTGGAGCAACCCCATGGTTGTGTTGGTCTGCTTCGGCAGACCTGCCATCGGGGCCGAGTAGTTGAATGCGTAAGTGATCCTGCGACGCACCATTAAGACGGGAGAGGTTTTGTTGAGTTTTAGTGGGTAGTAATGGTTTTGCCGGTGAGACCCACACCTCGTGCGTAAATGCTTTTCCCAACGTTAAAAAAAAGGACATGAAAAAGAAAGGGATGAATGATGAGATGACGTGTAATAGAGGAGAGTGGAATAGGACGACTTACTATGCCGACCTCGAGTGACTTGGGAAATGGGCAGGAAGAAGAAGAAGAAGATATTTTAAGGTAAGACGTCTTGTATGGACCTTTCGCCACTGGTATGTATATATGTATGTATGGTATGGTATGTATGTATATTGTATGTATGTATGTACATATGTGTGTGCACGTGCGCACTCACCCCGCGCCACAGGTCGGCGGCGGCGTGCCGCAGCAGCACGTGCAGTGCGTGCGCGTGCGGCGCGCGCGCTCCGTGCTCCGCGCAGCACACGTGCAGGGCCGTGTAGCCTGTGGGGGAAGGTTGGTTAGATTTAATTTATTTATATTACTATACTAGGTACGTTTTAATTTTTTTGAGCGGAACCCTAATTCTTTTTCTTAAAATCAAAGTAGCCTATGTTACTCCCTATAACATCAGCTATCTTCTAGTGAAAGTCCCGTCAAAATCAGTCCAGACGTTTCAAAGATTATCCGAAACAAGCAGACAGACAGACAAAAATTAAAAAAAAAATTGTTTTTCTTATAAGTACCGTATATAATTTTATATATGCATTTAGTAAAACGCTGTTTTGACATTACACACAAACACTTCAATTTTATTTATCTGCATAGATAAATATCTCGTGTCACAGTGTTTGTGGTCGCACTCCTCCGAAACGACTCGATCGATTCTAATGACATTTTTTTATATTTGCCAGGCATGAAAATAGGCCGTAAAGTATTTTTCACCCTCCTACCCCCACCCCCTATTTTTTCATTGTGATTTTAGTATTTTCGTACAAAAAATATCCAAATAATTTAATATTATATAAATACATAGGGACGCACTCACCCGAGAGAAGCGAGGGTGAGTCACTGTATAACTTAAAGCAAAAGTTTTTTTTCATAGATTGAACGTGGGCGAAGCCGCGGGTTCTGCGCTAGTTATATTGATAATATTGCCATATTCCTTAAATGGCATAAAAAAATATTTCCTACACCACAAATACATGGAATGAATTTAAAAATGTTTCATTGAGACACACTACAAAAAACTATAGAAGAAAACACAGATTTTTAGACTTTAAATGGCAAAATTGTAATTTTTCCTTATTGAAAAACAGAATGAGTATACTATAAGTATAAGGCTATATGTATATAAATTTAATATAAAATCACGTAAATAACCAATTAATTATTATACATTATACATAATATTTTTAGCCAATACGAATCAAAAAGATCAACCATAGCATCTAACTTAAACACTAAAACATATACGATATTACATAACACCTTTTAAGTACAAATCATTAAATTAGTTTGTGTGTAACACAACATGTTCTAAACTACACATCACTAAGTTTGCGTTTAACACAATATGTTCTAAACTACACATCTCTTAGTTTGTATATTACACAACGCCTAAAACACAAATCAAAGTAAATAAAGATCAAAAACCCAACTCACCATCAGTATTAGCATGGTGTATATTGAACAGTGGTATATCATTGTCTTCGGACCTGACCAGTTCACTCAGAACATCCGCACACTCGTCGCCGGCGCGTGCGCAGGCTATGACTAGATTGTCACCCAACGTGTCCACCTGTGGGCAAAAATGTTTTATAAATATTAAATGAGCAATTCTTGTATATTTATCTATATATATATATATACATAAATAAATAAAATTAAAGCGTCCGTTTGTCAAAATAACAGCCTTTTAGTAAATGGAAATCCCGTTAATCCATACTAATATTATAAATGTGAAAGTGTGTTTGTTTGTTTGTTTGTTTGTTCTTCTTTCACGTTGAAAAGTTGAGGGCTGGAGAGTGACATAGGCTATTTTTTACCGCGGGAGATCATTTCATTCCCACGGGAAAACACGTTATAATACCACCCAAAAAAATATTTATGATCAGAATTATTTGAAACTTGGTATTAATGCAATTCAATACAATTATATAAATACGTGTTTTAGCATTTTTCGAAATTCATCCCATAAAGGGGTAAAATAGGGGATGAAAGTTTGTATGAAACCTAGCTTTTTAGTTATTTTTTTGTACTTTTAGCGCGAGCGAAGCCGCGGGATTTGATAGTATTATTATATATGTAAAAGTTTGGATGGATCGGTCGACCGATAGATCGACGGATGGATCGATACATGGATGAATATCTGCCTGCAAGTTATAAGTTTCACTTACCTCTGAGAAAACATGTTCGTTTGTCCGTTTGTACGCTTCACTCCTAGTCACGGCGCGTATACATTGCACTATGTACCGCGTGAGGAGAGGTCTGGTGTAACAGCGGAGCACTGCTAGCTTCAGTATGTTGAGACCTAATATATAGAATACGGTTTTATAATACCATTCATTAGATCAGTCGGTTTCCCAAGCGAGCGCGTTACGGGTCATTCAGTAATTACGTTAGGATAATTTAGGCGATTTTTGACCAGCCCCCCTTTCCCCCAAAAGTAAGAGCACATAAGATCTCCCATACTCCTCCTCTACATACATACATTCTTACAAACTTTCGCCCCACCCCCCGGGCTCCCGAGATCAGGGCATATAGAGATTTCGAGAACCCCACTGGACCCTTATATTATTAAAGTATGGCCCCTTACTACTGAGCTACCAATGCCTTAATTAAATTTATGTTAGTTATTTAGTAAGTAAATTAGGAAGAAAATAAAGGTAATAAAAGCTTTTTAAAGGATTTACCGAAATCATTGACAAACAGCATGGGCCTCAAAGCGAGCACCTTCTCACATATCAAACTGAACAATGCCAAATTAATATCTTCATCTTTATCATTTGAGAGATTTAACAGTATGTGGTGGAGGACTCTGAAAAGAAAATTATACAATAAATTACATGAAAAAATTTAAAAATTGTTTTTTTTTTTCTCGTATAAATACCGTATATAATTTCATATATTTATTTGTATAGATTGTTCAGTATAATATGTCCTAGCCGATTTACCCCCGTTTCGCTCGGGTACGTTTCCAGGTACGTTTTAATTTTTTTGAACGGAACCCTAATTCTATTTCTAAAATATAAGTAGCCTAAGTTACTCCTTATAACATCAGATATCTGATAGTAAACGCTCAGTCAAAATCGGTCTATCCGTTTCGGAGATTAGCCGGGACAAACAGACAAACAAAATATAATTCTATATTATGCAATTGTCGACATAATATTATATCTAGTTAATAATATTAACTACTAAATTATTCTCGCTTTTATACAAAAAAAAAATAAAGAAATACATGGAGATTCTTTTTTGTTTGTACCGAATAGGCTCCGAAACTACTGAAGCAATTTAGATGAAATTTAGTAAGAAGATAGTTTGAGACCCTGGGAAGGACATAAAAGAGTTTTTATCCCGGAAACTATCCGTTAAGGGGGTGAAAATGGGGATAAAAGTTTGTATGGGGAAGCAACCTAGGGACGAACCTGAGCGAAGCGAGGTTGAGTCACTAGTCTATATTATTTAGAATTTTAATTAATATTATTAAAAAATGTTCTTTGTTTTCAACTGTTTCATATCCGATTCACTTTTCCGGTAACTCATAGATAAGGTGTTTATTCGTATTACTAATTCGGCTTTATCTGAGATATGACATTATTACCTACATTGCATATATATATATATATATATATATATATATATATATATATATATATCTGTATAGATAAAGCTTGATGTCATTTCTAATATGAAACTATAAAAAGAATTTAAATCTCAATATATGAGTGAAATAGTTTTTATCCCGGAAATCATCCCTTGAGGGGTTGAAATGGGGATGAAAGTTTGTACGGGGAAGCAAGCCAGGGACGAACCCGAGCGAAGCGAGGGTGAGTCGCTAGTAATATTATAACAATGTATCCTCAAAAATTCGTACGTGATTATTTAAACGTATTACGACGTATGTTTGTTCATTAAAATAATAACAAATTGTCTCGTCATAATATTGTTATCTATATAATTAAGTCAAAGGTTAAATTTAGTACAATAAATGTTTCACCGACTTCAAGAAGGGGAAGTACTGTGTTTGATATATTTTTTGTATATTACTCGATATCTAAGCCAAACGATTCTGAAGTTTTGTGTATATGTGGATATACATATGTATGTTAGATTTCTTAGGAAATGTATACACTATACAGATAAATAAAATTGAAGTGTCTGTGTGTAATGTCAAAATAACAGCTTTTTACTGAATGCATATGAAATTATATGTGGTACTTATTAGAAAAATGATTTTTTTTTTAATTTTTGTCTGTCTGTCTGTCTGTATGTTTGTTTCGGCTAATCTCCAAAACGGCTGAACTGATTTTGACGGCACTGTCACAGGCATATAGCTGATGTTATAAAGAGTAACTTGGCTGTTTTTAGTTTTGAAAAATAATCTGCTAAAAACATTAAAACGTATATAAGGACGTATCTTTCAACTATAAATGTTGGGACATTAACACACAGCACCATCTAGTTCCATGGTAAGCTACGAGGCTTGGTTATGGATACCAGATAGTTGATAGACTACAGATGATGCATGCCTCGCTATCTCTGCGAGAGTATGTAAAATACTATTCCAAAAAAAAAATGACAATATTAACTCCACACTTACCCATAAGCAGTTTTGAAGTCCAAATTGGCGACTTTATAACATATATTTTTCCTTTCCTCAATTTCCAATTTACGGATGTGCTCCTCAAAAATGGCTTTACACGACTTTCTGTTAATCTGACAGCATTCCTTCTTAGAAAAGTCCGTTGCTATTTGCTTTTGAAGATCTTTGAACTGTTTCATCGTCATGGAGGATGATTTCTCTTTTTTTTTATCTGTTTCCTTATCAGATTCTATATTATCTGTGATGCAGCTGGGATAGTCTTCTATGGGGGTGATATCTTGGTACTTTTCGTAATCGCTGTTATGCATTGGGGAAGAAGTATCAGGAGATAGGGTGTAATCTGTTGTGGGATAAAAAGAAGTTTGAGAATCTGACATTGGACTTGGCACATTCTCAGAACGTGGTGGAGTTAGGAAAATCGATGGTTTCTCGAATGATCCATCGATTATTGGCAAATCGATATCGTAATCGAATGTGTGGCTGGTATTCGAGAACTCTTCCACAGGGTTTGGGGTGGGGGGTTTGTTTGGGGGGAAGTTAGTGATTTGGGGGTTGGTTCTGTCATAATTACTGATGAATTCTGACAGCATGTCTTCAAGTTTGTCTTGGTCTGTCTCTTTCACATATTCTTGGGCTATTTGCCAACGGTCGACTTGTTCTTGTTGAGAGTTTTGAGCGAAATTTGTGACGCTCATGTCAACTAGCTTTAATGCTGTTTCGATATCGCTGCAGTTTTCAGCAGGTCGTATATTAGAATTCACTATGACCTGCCCTCCAGCCATTGTTTGTAAGGCACAAACGACTTTGTGGGCCTGAAAATAAAATAGATTTTTGCGTGAGATATTTTAAGTGATAGGTACACTAACATTACTCCAGCTCATCATGGTCTATGTGTATAGTAAATTTCATCCAAATCGGTCTAGCCGTTTCAACGTAAAAGAGTATGCTAAGAGTGTGCTTGTTTGTTTGTTCTTCACACTGTAACGGCTCAGCCGATTTGACTGAGATTCGAAATAGGGATAATAACTTATATCCTGGATATAACACATAGGCAATTTTTTATTTACGTATTTACCACGCGAGAGAAGTCTCGGGTGAAAACTAATTTTATATAAAAATATACATAATAATCATACAAATCGTATGTTATTTTAGAAAACATCGTGGATAAGACAGCATTGACGTCACCTAGTTTTAAAGTCCAAAGAAGGAGTTTAACATATGTAGATCAAAATATAGAATGGGTTTTTTTTCCAACCAAAGATACAATCAGGAGGCAAATAATAAAAAAACTCAACAACTCCTTTGTAATAGGGAATATGCATGTATTTTTTTATATTTTTAATTCACTGTTTACACTGTTATATAACATAGAAAAAAATATAAATACTGTTTAAAAATGCCGTAATTAAGTTTAAAAAAATAATTAAAATAGCGAATAATTTTAAGCTGCTTAAACGCCGCCATTTTCGCGCGCTCTATTAATGACGTCAAATACTATGTCCAGCAGTGTTGCCAGATCAAAAAACTCATTTAACGCTAGGACTGCACAAAAAACGCTAAACTTCGCTCTAAATAACTATTCCTTTCTTGAACTATAAATTATAATAAAAGAAACAAATACAAAAATAGCCCTAGATCTGAAGCCCAAAGCATTAAATGGCAGCACTGATGTCCTGTCTGTCAGTGAGACGTGAGGACTGAGTAGTGACAGTTCAGTCCATTGTTTACTACAAGTTTAAGGTGTTCTCGTTCATAGCTTATTTCACCATGAAAAAAGCTTAAAAGCCAGTTTATAAGTATTGCTTTGTGCCAGAAAGCAAAAACTATCTGAACTCAAAAGTACACCTCACAAAGTGTTCTTTCCAGTCCCGATAGTTGCAAAAATACGTAAGGAATGGTGTAAGGTTATTTAGAAGAGACGAAGTGTCTGCAACAACTTGTTTACTTTGTTGTGAAGATAAATAAATAAAATGGTTTGTTTTTTCACTAGCTGTTTTTACTCATTAACCTGATCCCTATCTAATATTTAATATTACAGACTAGATAAATACAAACAAATAACTTACGATATATGTATAGAAAATATCGATATATATGTAAGATATATCGCGAATTATCGATACAACAATACGATTTATTATATCGAAAAAAATATCGTTTTTTTACATGAACATTTCTAGGTTATATAGATAGAGTATTTGACGTCACGTTTCGTTTTAACCACTGGTATTGTGTTTTACAAATTTGTATTTCCCTTGCTTCATTTGTACTTTTATTTATTAATTTTAAGTAACTAAAAAGATATTATTTACTAAAATAATGGTTTCATTCAAATGTTCGGCCAATAAAGATTCGGAATAAAAATATTTGATCCAAATTTAAATTACATGCATATTCTCTATTCTTGTACTGATGTTGGCCAAGTGCGAGTCTAACTCAATCACTGAGGGTTCCATAGCATCAAAAATTTTAATGCTAAGTTTTAATTTACATTTTTAAGCACAAACGAATTTAGAAACATAAATCAGCAACTATTGACTTAGCAAAAAAGTTGTTTAAGAAACATGCATTTCATTTTCAAAGACCAAAAGAAAGATAGATGTATATATGTATGTATGACCATGTATTGGGAGCATGCCCTATTTACATTTTATTCAATTTGAATGAAACATTTTCATAGCCAATTCACTATATAGAACCAATACTCATATTAAAATGGCTACGACGCGACGTACGGACAAACAGACGCACATAATAAAATATAAGGGCTCCGATTTAGCCTTTTGGGCTACGGAACGCTAAAAACTATTTTATCAATACTAAAAAGTTACCTCGCTGAAAACATTGTTGCTCGTATCTTTGTAGGGATGTACCGACTTGGCATGATCTCCCCTTTTAGAAGAATACATCGGACCCCTGGTGATAGCCACCGTCTGCAATCTTTTAGGCTTTTTGCCATCTTCTGTGCTATCTTTCACCTGTAAAATTGGCAAATTGCCATGAATATATGCTAATACTTTGTACATGGAAAATAAAAAGTTATGCCTATCACCAGTTTGCATGTAGTTTTAAAATTATTCTTGTCTTAATAATACCTAATACTTTCTTAGATTTACGGGAATATTTGACATCTATAGATATCATAAAATTCTGAGTCGAATCTGTACATTAGATATTTTTTTTAAAATCTTATTGAAATAGACATTATTATCGATACAGAGACATCACACACAATCTACAGATATTAGAATTTTTGTCTGTCTGTCTGGGAACGCTTCAGGAGAAAACCACTGGATAGATTTTGATGAAATTTGGTATGATGATAGCTGGTTATCCGAGTCAACTTATAGAATACTTTTTACTCCGGGAAAATACCTCGTCTTCGAAAAATCTATACTAACTTTTAAAACGTATCTTGTTTTACCGCTAATTTTAAATAAAACTATCTTTCTGCGCATAATAAATCCGCCCTAAAATCCGAAAAGGTATTTTTATTTAATAATAATACCTATTGTAACAAAAATATATAATTAAAAAAAATCAAAAATAATTATATCAAAGGTCTTGATTTTTCTCGCCAAATTTTGACAAATAGGTAAAAACTCGTTGAAAATTGCTCACACAATGATAATTTTAGTGCAATTTCTGTAAAATATATTACACTCTGACCCTTTAACAAATTAATCCTAAAATTCTTATCATATATTTCGTTCAAGTTTTAAGATCAATGTTTTAAAAGAGTAAGATGGCTAACGCGTTCATACTATGTGCATTACATTATTACACGCGAGATTCGAACCCGCGAAAACAGCAAAGGATTCCTATTCTTAACAAAATATAAAATAAACAATTTCAAAATACCTGGTTATGATCTACACTTAATTTTTTAAACGAATCGACCAAATCTTTGTCTTTTTGATCTTCGAATTCGTTAGCGTTATCGTTAATACATTTCTCTGCAAAACCACTGTCCTCTGAAGAGTGAGAGTCGTTCCTCTTATCTCTGACTTCATCTTTAATTATTTTGTAAGAAAAATTATTAAACTCATCTTCGTTGTCTGAAACGTCTTTATATTCCAAATCCAATTTGTTAAATTTTTCCAAAATATCCGTTACAGGTGTTGTTACATTGTTATTGTCGACGGACTTCGGAATTTCAATTTTAGCGTTTATTGTATCCTTTTTCTTTACCTTCTCCTTCTTTTTATCTTTCTGGAAGAAAGCTTGGAAGGGTCTTTTGAATATGTTTTTTATAGATTTCTTTTCATCAGCCATTGGTAAGTGTGGTTGGACGTTTGGCACTTTGGGGCTTCCCATACTTAGTAGACTTAATTTCTAAGGAAATTTAGATTTATTTGCATCTGTAACAAAGAAATGATCAATATTAGAGGAGAATATTTGCATAGATGAAACCGCTAATAATATATATTATGCTATGCTCCTTTGCTTTACATTTATTTACAATAAAGGAAATACATTCAAATCACAAAAATACTTAATTAAATTTAAAAAAAATACTATGATTATATTAGGGATGCAAACTAACGTCATTTTGGCCTGACCTTGAGCTCGAATCTAGAGCCTTATAGCTCACACCATTCTATTTCATTTACTAAAAGCTACAACGGCACCTTTCTAAAAAATCGAAATCGCGTTTAGGCATCACACACGCATTCATATATATGTGGACTAGGACTAGTAGGACTCACCGGCCAGAAAAGGCAGTACTACACACTAAACCCAACGGAACCTCCCTCTCTTAATTCGCAGACACACTCAACTACCGCCGACGACTGCCTGTCGAGGCAGACCACAACAACCACGGGGTTGCTCCACAGTCCACTCTGCTATCAGAGAAGTACCCGGAGCAACCCGCATAGTATACCGACCATCGAACACTCTACAGCCTACTAGACCAACTAAGTATATAATCAAAGTAAATACTAGTTATGTATTTAAATTTTTGCTAACAAGAAGTTAAGAAGGAAAGTCAGAAAAAGTGGAAGTTAAGTCAGAAGAAATTAATATTGCAACACGAATAGATATTTTTCTGACAATATGAAAAAAGCTGTACCCACCATAACTTTCAAAATAGTAATTTCACGGTCTAATGAATGTTGCTTCATCGACCATAATGAGCAATAGAAAATGTACTCGATTTTTGGACTTAATTTATAAATTATACCTACATACTTTAAACGTCACTTTTAATATTTTCTTTTGGTTAAACGGGAATATTAGACATTTAAAAAAAATCTTCTTCCGAATTTTTTTTGCTCTTTTTTTTTCTTTTTTTGTCCTAAAAATCGATCAATGATAATCAATAAAGAAGTGGAACTGGCGCTAACAATATCATCACCACATATAATAAAGTACCGGACAAATACTCGAGTTTGTGTTTGTCCGGACTAATCTCAAAAACTGCTGTACAGTTTTCACTATTAGAAAAAAAGATTATGTAGGAACGTTTTATGCTAATATATGACCATTTTGCGAGTATAAGCTGCCAATAGAATGATATTTGTAAACTAGCGACTTACCCCCGCTTCGCTTTGTTTTTCTAAAATAAAAGTGGCCAAAGTTACTCCTTATAACATAAACTATCTGTCAGTGAAAGTCCCGTCAAAATCGGTCCAGCCGTTTCGGAGATTAGCCAAAACAAACAGACAAAAAAAAACTTTTATTTTTATTTTACACATTTATATGCATTTAGTAAAGAGCTATTATTTTGACATTACACACAGACACTTCAATTTTATTTATCTGTATAGATTAAGCCAACAATATCGTCTTTCTGAGTACTACCGTAATATTATCATAGCGAAAGCCATCTATCTCTTATATGTATTTGTAAGTTATTTCGTTTCTATATTAACAGAATACGCCTTTAATCAATAGAAAAAAAAACAATTACAACTCGAGATAAATGGTTTTTATAACCTATAATCTTTATGGGTGTTTCCTCCGATCACTTTATACGGAAGATACGATACGATTAGTTATTATTACACTTTATGTATAGTTTAATATTTTCCTATTCTCGACATCACTATCTCATTCTCGACATCGCTAATATGGTGAAGGAAAGTATTGTGAAGAAATAAAAAGAAAAAAACTGTTCTTAAATAAAACTATCTCTTCGAATTTATTCGCGGATTTATTTTGATTTTCGCCGATTAGAAGATCTGAAGACAAAGCGAGCAATAATCTCTCCCGTGACCATGATTGCTGTAAAGCATTCGAAACGTCGGGAACCAAAAAATCAAAATAAATCCGCGAAAAAATCCGAAAAGCTAGTTTTATTTAAAATGTCAAATATTCATGGCAATCTTAGAAAGTATTGTAAAAAACTTTTTTGTTTAAAAAGCTCTTAAAAGTGGTCCAACATTAAAAAAAATCCCTGAGAATAAAACAAGTTCTTTTCAGTAATTTTCGAAATGAGTAGTTCAAAAGATTAGTAGTTCCTGAGATTAGCGCGTTCAAACAAACAAACAAACAAACAAACAAACAAACTCTATCTTTTAATAATATTAGTATAGATTTTACAGCATTAGCAGAGTTGCATCTACAAACTACTGCATTATATTTTCCTCTTTGTATTCACTCAACTATGTAAATTGTATTTCTGTATATACGTAAGATATACAGCGTGCTAAAAACGTCACCATTTTTAATAATAAAGAGATGACCTTATCATTCATAAGAAGATGACTTTGAATAGATTCTTTTTGTAGTTTTAGATTTCTTAATATTTTTTTTGAAATGAAAATTCTATAGGCAGGTTTGTTTGTATGGGGAGTAAATTTGTGTAAGTCGTCATCGACATGGTCACGTGACGTGTTAACGCTAACACTCAGAGTGCCGATAGATTAGATTAACACATTTTAATTCAAGATCAAACAATTAATATGAATATCGAAAAATAACAACTGCTTGTTTTCAATTTCATAATACTTCAGCATTCGAAACGTCGGGAACCAAAAATCAAAATGAATTCGCGAAAAAATCCGAAAAGATATATTTTTTTTAAATGTATGCGTGTATGTTTGTCACTCCTTCACGCTGTAACGACTGGACGGATTTTTTAATTTTATTAATTACAGAAAAAACTTAGTACACACATATACTATAAGCTGGAGTAACAACACATAGGCTAATGTCAGACAAATAGGGACGCGCCCGTGCGAACCGAAAATATTATAAATTTTTGACATCTAATTTTGACATCTAATTCCTAAAAAAAAAAAACTGATGTCAAACTAAACACAAAGTAGCCTGGCTAGCCGCTGCTAGATGTTACTATATAAATATACGCACGCTCATATAAGAGATACGATCTTCAAATGCCGATGTATAATCTGCACGGTACTTTATCGTTTCATTGCCAAAAATAATAGTGAGAAAAATTCATAAAATATATTCTCAGAATTACTTGGTGAGCTTGCGCAACAACTGTTTTTAGACATTCACTGTAGTATGAAAACTTTATCTAACGGTTACATATAATAAAATTGTAACTAAGCCGAATCTGTACATTAAATATTTTTTGGCAAATCTTATTGAAATAGACATTATTATCGATACAGAAGCTGAATCTATAGTTTTTAGAATTTTTGTCTGTCTGTTAACGCATCACAGAAAAATCAATGGAGGGATTTAATGAAATTTGGTATGATGATAGCTGGTTATCCAGGTCAACATATTAGACACTTTTTACCGCAAGAAAATATTTCATTACTAAGAAAAAATACAAAAACTGCAATGTAAGAGTATACTAATATGTAAAACCTAAGAATTTGGTTTTTGGTCATCTGAACGCGGGCGGAGCCGCGGGTAATGCTAGTTTGCACATAAAAAAAATATTTTAAATCTAAATTCGAATTTGCTATCATACTGAGTTACAAAGTCACCTTGCAGGTGTCGATTTTGAGTGCATCCTTATCGAATAAGCTGGCATCCGCTTTAGTAATTTAGAACACAAGTTCTAAGCACTAAAGGATAGTTTCCACGAATTTACCTCAATACGTATACAATTATCGATTGATTTAGTTATTAATGAAGTTGGCCGATAAAAAAAACATATCATATCTATATACTAATATTATAAAGAGGCAGAGTTTGTTTGAACGCCATAATCTCAAGAGCTACTAATCAGATTTGAAAAATTCTTTTTGGATTAGATAGCCCGTTTATTGAGGAAGGTTATACGCTATTTATCATCCCGGAAAAACGTACGGTTCCCGTGGGATAGATTTGTTTTTGTCTAGGGACGAACCCGAAATAAAATTTATATCAGCAAAGCGGACGGCTAGTCCAAACTAATATTATGAATGAGAATGTAACTGTCTGTCTGTTACGTTTTCACGCTTAAACCGCTGCACCAATTTTGATGAATTTTGGTATAGAGATAGATGTGGACCTTGGAGAAGGGCATAGGCTACTTTTTATGGCAAAAATAAAACTTGAAGTGGGTGAAATAGGTTTAAAGTTTGTATAGGTATTAGGGAACCAACTACATAAAGTACACTCACGATATTTTTTTAATAAACGGGCTATCTAATGTAAAAAGATTTTTTCTCATCAGATTAGTAGTTCCTGAGATTAGCGCGTTAAAACAAACAAACACACAAACAAACAAAACTCTGCCTCTTATATTATAATATTATAGTATAGATTATGCATTCTAATAAATTAATATACTCGACCACATCCCGTCATTAAATAATATAAACACATAACAGTATATCGTGTTTACATATATTTAATTTTGTACAAATATAAACTGTAAACTACCTTATAATCTTATAGTATTAAATGAGCTCGGAAACGACCGATTTCGATCAAATCTATACTAATATCATAAAGAGGCAGAGTTTGTTTGTTTGAACGCGCTGATCTCAGGAACTACTTATCCGATTTGAAAAATTCTTTTAGCATTAGATAGCCCGTTTATTGAGGACGACTATAATAGGCTATATATCATCAAGCCACTACCCAAGGGAGCGGAACAGTAACCATAAATATCAACAAATCGGGCAGACTTCCATACATTATTGTAAAACTGATGTTTATAATATGTTTAGGTGCCAGAAACTATTGATCAATGCATCAATCCAGTTATTTTTGTAGTTTTAGTGCAAGCGAAGCCGCGGGTTCTGCTAGTTTTGTATATAGACAAAATTTAGCTTTTTAATTTTATCTATGCAGATGTCTTTACTAATTTCTCAAAGTGATTGTTTTGAAGAATTATTTTATAAACTGATTTCGTTCTGTTTGTTACGATTTTACTTACTACTAGATAAGTTTTAACGGTTAAT